CCTTTCCTAAGTACACTCTAAATTAGTTAAGCCTTATGGTCTGAGAGCAGTATACAGTATACACTTGTGATGTAAGTACTACCATAGTTGTGATGACGGTAACTTTTTTGTTATAAAACCAAAGTTCACATTTCCCATTTTGTTTGCCAGTAGAAGAAGTCACCAATTTGGCATCCCGCCGACTGTCTGTGAGTCCATCCTGTACATCCAGCACGTCCCACAGGAATTACTCCTTCCGCCGAGGGTCAGTCTGGTCCGTGCGTTCGGCCGTCAGTGCTGAAGGTGTGTCTTCTTACAAATCTTTTCTTTAGTATTCATGACTTACATGTTTTGAAACATTTTCCAGTTAATATCATTGTCTCACTTCATTTACACTGTCTTCATTAAATAACTTGTTTCATGACTTGAAGTTATAAACAAATTAGATTGAGTGGCATCCTAAAAAAAATTCATGTTGATTTAACCTAGCAATTGTCATTTTTGAGTTGGCTCTATTTTAATTATATTGCATGTAGTCATATTGCTGAGGGTTCAGTTAATGGTTTTCTATCCTGGCTACAGATTACAATGAACTTGGAGGCTTTAAAAAAATAAAAGGTCTGGGCCATACCCCAGACCAAGATCAACGTCTCTGAGGGAGGGACCCATGAGTTAAGCAATTCAGTGTGTGCCCAGCCACAGGATGCTTTAAGATGCTGTTTTAGGACAATCTAACAGCCAAAAGAAGACTAAAGCTCATGCTATTTTTGTAATGAAGTCTGACTCTCAGGGTGGAGGGCTGGGGACAGAATGTGATACCCTTCCGTTCCAAAAATTTTTTAGATATGTTTCTCTAATAATAAACAACTGTCTGAGACTTACTGCTTCGTGATTATGCAAACTTCACCACTGATTTATAAGTCATTAAAAAGATATACAGAAATTGAGCAAAGAGGCCAGTGTTTCTCCACGCTTTGCTGTACAACCCTGGAGAACTTTGAAAAATGACTGATACTAATTAATCGCAGTTTATGAGGATGGGGCCCAAGGCACCTCTGCATTTTTATAACACCTTTATTGAGACATAATTCACATACCGTAAAATTTGCCCCTTTGAAGTATACAATGCAGTAGTTGTTAGTATATTCGTAGAGTGTGCAACCATCATCACTATCTAATTTTAGAATATTTTTATCATCCCCAAAAGAAACCCTGTATTTATTAGTAGTCATTCCTTATCCATCATTTCCCCCAACCCCTGGCAAGAACTAATCTACTTTCTGTTTCTGTGGATTTGCCTATTTAGCAAACTTCGTATAAGTGGAATCATACAAAATGTGGCCTTTTGTGGCTGAATTTTTTTCACTTAGCATAATCATTTCAAGGTTCATACATGATATAGCACGTATCACTGTTTCATTCCTATTTATTGCCAAATAATATTCCATTGTATAGATGTACTATATTTTGTTTATCAATTTATCAGTTAATGGACATTTGGGTTGTTTCCACTTTTTGGCTATTATGAATTATGCTGCTATGAACAGACGTGTACAAGTTTTTTAGGGGAAAACGGTCAAACTGTTTTCCAAAGTGGCTGTACCATTTCACAATTCACCAAAGCATATGAGGGCTTTGATTGCTTAACATTCTTGCCAATACTTGTTGTCATTTGTTTCTGTCTTAATTTTAACCATTTCTATGGATATAAAGTAGTATCTCATTGTAATTTTGATTTGCATTTGATTTACATTTCCCTAATGACAAATGAT